TGCGCCGAATCAAATACTAATTTTAGTCGACTCGAATGAATAAGTTTGGCTGATTTGATTTAAACGTCGCGGTTTTTTTGCCCAATAGAATTGCTGAGCGCGAGCGATAGCGACGTGTTAATTCTCATTCGAGCAAACATAATTTCTTCAACATAATTTATTTAACATAATTTATGAATTAGATTCGGCACCTGTAAAATGCGGCGTTTAAATCAACTGTCGAACTTCCGTCGTATATTCGACTGGATCATTCGAATATTCGACTGAACTCGCATTTAATTGAAATAGGTCGCATTTAATTGATTTAAACGTCGCATTTTACATGCACTTAATAAACCAATTTCGATATATATTTTTTCGATATATCAGCCTAACGCAATAGACCTCAGCACGTGGCTCTGGGGAATAAACCCCGCAAACTCTGTAGTTATTCCCCAGAACCTCGTACTGAGGTCTGTTGTTTTAGGCTGAATTTTAATATAGCAAAATTGGTCTATTTGGCAATTCGATTCGGCGCATGTAAAATGCGACGTTTAAACCGGGCCTTAGTTCCTCATTCCGAGAGGACAGGTGACGAGAAAAGGTGACTATCAGCAAGAACGCGTTCTTGAAGACTTTCTCAGTGTTTTTCAGCCGGGTAAATTTTTATATGACCCTTCTCTAGGAAAAAATAATAATTTAAACGAGCATTTTGGATGTATATAGAAATTTACTCAGTTTAGTCCGGAATTACTGCATTGTAATTTTGCCTTTTAAAATTGTAATTTTACATTGAATACTTAATGACTGGTCCCTTGGGGAACAGTAAATTTTGTTTCCCTCGACGAAAATTTCTGAAAAAAGAAGAGATAAAAACGAACGTAGAACATACTTACTTAATTTTTTCACACATATATTATCTAACACTTTAAAGGGCCGATTGGGGAATATTGTAAGCCGTCGATCGAGAAGAACTTTTGAGATGTCGTGGGACGTTCTCGTCATTCTCGTCCCCAGGATCGTCTCATTTTCTTACTCAGTGGAGCCCAGGTACGAGATTTTAATAGATATGATCTGCCAAAAACAGTAAGTTAAAATCATGCAAGTAAAGGTTTTTATTTTCCCTCATTCTTCCAAGCTTGCCACAGAGACCGTGATTCTAAGGTTTCGTCGAAATGTTCACAATTAATGCAGTGAAACTTCAGCGAACCACATTCGCCATATATTCGCCATAATATTCGGAGCCAAAGAAATAATTAGGTCCCACAGAAGCCCATCGTCTACTCTGTAGTGTTTTGATTTATCCGGTTTTAAAAAGAACTTGGTCATGAAAAAATGCCCTTCTAAGCTGGGTTCTCAGGTGAAATGTAAACAAAGATTTTTTAATTGTTTTTTTTT